TGTCTTTAAATGGGAATCTGGTCGGTTGACCTTTCTCCACGCTCTCTCAGCCGCCACCAGACTCGCCAAGTGGGTCCTGGAGTCATGCATACAACCAGGCTAAGGAGATCGTGGGGCTATCTGCAGATCTCTCAGGAAGGTGATAATAAAACGGGCCCTGCCTATTTCACAGAGGTCTGAAGAGCGGAAGAATCGATCCAAATAAACATTGGAAATTGGGACGGCTGGTTTTCAGATCTGGAAGTATGGGGAGGTTCTGGGCAGAGGGGCAGAGCAAATGCCAAGAAAGGTGTACAATTCCCAGTTACCTTCCAAGCCACATTCCCTGGCATACCCACTAATGATAACTCCTTAAATTCTGGAACAATTTTCGATTGTAACTTGAAGTATGTTCTGTGGTTTCCTTAATTGCATTGATCCACTTAGACCCCTGCACTGTGAACATTCAGAACACTCCGCCCATGATACCTTAGTACCTAAACACTGGGTAGAGATGATCGTCAGTTTTAGACTCAACTGGGAAAAGCCTTTACTGGGCCATAAGGAAGGAAGAGTGGGATGTGTCTGTCGCATGTGAGCCAGCGCAGGACAGGTCTTAAATGGTCGTAAACTTTATCCATGCAGATGTGTCTCTCCTGCTGCTAACTAGTTTAGTCTAAGCCATTTCATATAAAATCCATGAAACAGAGGAAGCAGGCTAACAACATAAGATTTAAACCACCGTAATGGAGAGATTTCCTAGAATAAAACACCGATTACAGAACAAAATCAGAGAAACCCAAACTTCCACAAGTTTACATTCTCTTGAGTTGGAACCACGATGGGACCTAAAGGTTTGGAACAGGAAAGGAACCCGCAGCCCAGATGGAGACAGTCTACCAAAGACGATAGAGAGGACCGCTGATGATCTCGGGGCTGTATATTTCTGGTTAACCAAAAAGCAGTGCCTGGGCTGCTCTAGAATTATTGAAGTGAGCCATACCTTATATTCCTGTTAGAAAAAAGTTCAATATTTTTTTGTGTGTTTATAGGGAGTGAAAGCGAGTGAGCTCACCATCACAATCAGAAAGGACCCCCTAGAGAGAGAACCTGAACAAAACAAGGCACACTGTCAGAAACATAGCTTTCCTTGTAATTCTTGACTGTTGGACTGGGAATGTAGCTCTGGAGAGACCCTTGCTTAGTATGCAATAAACTGAGGGTTCAATCTCCAGCACTACAAGAAAAATAAATACCCAGGCAGTGGCCCATGCTATTCTGGAGGCTGAGATCCAGATCCTCCTGAAGTTAGTCTGGCCTAAAAAGTGTATGGGATTCTTATCTCCAATTATCTAGCCAGAAACCAGAAGTGAAGCTGTGGTACAAGTGGCAGAGTGCTAGACTTGAGGGGAAAAAAAAAAGCTAATGAACAGTGGCCAGGCCCTGAGTTCAAGCCCTGGTACACACACAGAGAAAGAAAAATAAATAAGTAAATAAACAACCGAAATTCATACTGCCAGAGAGAAAGAATTTGACATAATTTGATTAGCATGTGCATTGAAAACAGCCCATGAGGCAATGTAGTGAAAGGAGCACTAAATTTGGAGTCCCAAGCACTGCTGTAGGCTGGCTGCATTTATAGATAACTTGTATGAAGTCATCCTGGACAGCTTGTGCCTGGGGAACAGGCAGAAATGAGATTTCCAAGAGAAGGGTTTAGAGGAAAGTCCTTCCAGCTCAACAGTTTAAGAAGGTCACCAAGTGGAGAAAACACTCAGCATGACTATAGTTTTTCTTGAACATGGAGATTTTGGGTAAAAGTCATAACATTGTTGGTTGGATGGAGAAAAAAAACCTTCACAAAATTCACAATTTAACCAGTTCAATTGAATGCAGCAAAAACTATGTATTATTTTAAATATAAATATCTAAAATCTCAAGCAGATTGACAGTAGTTTTTGTGGAGACAGGCTCCATAGCTTCTGCCACTTTTTAAAGTACTTATGACCCCCAAACTGGAAGTTACTGACACAGAAGGCTATGTTATCCTGCCTGGATTTTAAGATTTAGCTCTTGCTAATCATCTTTTGTGTCCTGAAACCTTTGTAGATCAACTCTTAAAGCAAATACTTACAGAGACCCAAAATATTTACAATTCCCAGGTGTAAAGAACCAGAAGGTCTATAGCCAAGTCACACTGATCTCAACTTATTATCTATCCTTCCTGCCTACCAGTGTGATGACTGTCTTCACATTTCTCTCTTGGGCCAATGTTCTCTTCCTTCTTAAAACACACAAAGTACTAGTATCTCCATCAGTAGGCTCCTACTGAATACTACCTTCTTCCTCACCACTTTCTTTTCTTTCTCTTTCTTTTTTCCCTCCCTCCTTCCTTCCTTCTTCTTTCCTTCCTTCCCTCACTCCTTCCTTTTGTGCCAGCCCTGGGGCATGAGCTTAGGGCCTGGATGCAGCCCCAGAGCTTGTTTTGCCCAGGGCTAGCTCTCTATCACTTGAGCCACAGCTCTACTTCTGAGGGTGTGTCTGTGTGTGTGTGTGTGTGTGTGTATGATTAATTAGAGATAACAGTCTCTAATTAATTTCTAATCTCTAATTTCTGTCCTGGCTGGCTTTGAACCTCGATCCTCAGGTCTCAGCCTCCTGAGTAGCTAGGATTACAGGCATGAGCCACCCGTGCCCAGAACGTTTCTATTTTTAAGTAATTATTTTCAGACACCAAGAGCCTTGATTTAGTGAGCACATATTTGCTTCCATATTGAGTCACTTATTTTAAAATTATTCCATGCAAAATGACCAAAGAGAACAAGGGGAAAACATCATGATATAAATGAGGACCTGTTTTCCCCCAAATGCTAGGCAGTCAGTCAGACAGAAATTCTTAGAAAGTAGGAACAACTGCAAACCCCCTCCTCAACCCAATCAAAACATCCCTGCCGGAACAGAGTGACTTGTTTCTTTCGGATTTTTTTTTCTATTGGAAATGAGTGGTAAACTGAGTTCAGCTTGGTGGTGTTTTCTTAGCTGACTCTAGGCTACAATCAGGCCATTTTCGGACACATTCCCATGTAGGTACCAGGGGTGCTCTGGAGGAAGCTGTCGACGCCTGTTCAGCTAATTTAGGTTTTCTTTGTCTAATTACTGTGGAGCTTAGGGAAAAGGAGCCCGGCTCAGGGCAGTAAACTGACACTCGGCCTCTGTGTGTGGTATCCAGGCAGGATTTGATGGAAAAAGCCTGCTTCCACTCAACTTCAGGTCACTGTCTGGGGCCAGTCCCAGCCCAGCCCCCTCCTCCCCACCCCACCTCTCTTCTTCTCTGCAGACCCAACAGCGCTCTCAGCCAGCCCCCCCCCACACACACAGACTGCACCACCAGAGGCACCAAGAGCTGGGACAGCCCCCAAGGGGCATAGGTCTGTTCCACTAGGACTCTCAGTGGAGCTAGGAGTGGAGGAGCTATGCTCTTGATCTGGCTTGCTGTGTGAATGCCCCTTGTCTAGCCTCACACCTCTGCAGGCTCCTCAGCACACACATCCTTGCATTGATTTCTAGAGACCAAGATGCACCAGCTTTGCATTCCAGTCGGTCCCTTCCCTCTGGGCCTCTCTATCAGTCCCTGTGTGGCCCAGCCTGCTCCCAGCCCTCAGCTCTCCTCCCTGTTCCCAGCCCCTATCCCTAGTCAGACTCCATTTCCCTGCACGTGTAATCCAATAACTAACTGTCGGCTCTCATTGCAAGTGATTTCTCCCGAGGGTACATCTCTCCCTGAGCCAGGCTCTTACAGAGAGGGATCAGCACAACTGGGCATCAAATTTTTTAACAGAACTTAGTTTAGCCATGGTACAGTTTGAGTGAAACAATGCTGAGAGTGAGGATGTGAAGTTACTGGCAGTAAAGCACTCTCCAGAGTTGAATGGAAATACAAATATCCCCTCTTCTCAGGCTCAACCTTCTTGTTGCTTTAATTTTCTTCCCCCCCCTTTCTTTCCCCCACAAAAACATTAAGTGAAAAACTAAAAAGAAGTGGCAGCTAATACAAACTTGAGTCCTATTTGCCCCACATTTTCATTGTCTCTAAAACTTGGCCCAGGTTTTTCCATCCAAACTCCTCTGTTCAAAGTTCTGAAAACGTCCACGATTTCCTGAGGCCCAACACTCTGGGACTCCCAGCGCTCACTCTCTTATGGACAATCTCAGGGCCAAAAGGCTCTGCCAGAAAGAGAGAGTATTGGCACATTACCTTTGGGCGTCTGGCACCCTGGCGTGCGGTTGAGGGCGGCAAGTTCTAAATAAAGTTGACAGATGGTGTCAGTTCGGGCCCTGGGGAAGCCGGCTAAGGAGGGTCCTGACAGCACTCGAGGCCAGACAGCAAGGCCAGAGGAAGGCTGGGAGGAGGGTGGGGAAAGGCGAAGGGAAAGGAGAGGAGGGGTGGGTCTACTGTAGGGGCTGGGGGGTGGGAGGGAGGCTGGTTTCTGGGATGGGAATCTGGGCCTGCAGGAAAAGAACACAGAAAGTAAGTTCTTGAGGTCATAGATAGTCGAGTTTTGCTAGGAGTGGGGGGTTGTCCTACCAAAATGTGAGTTAGTGTGTGACGCCTCCGCTTGAAAGAGGGTGGATGGGGAAAGGGAAAGGGTCCCAGAGAGGAATTACAAGGACGAGGCCAAACCCCAGAGAGGCCGAAGATAAGAGAGGAAGTCAGCGGCCAGGTTAAAGGGGTGGAGGGGAGTGAGCAAAGCGGCCTGGGCGCCCTCCCCGGAGCGGGCAGCGTCGAGCGCAGAGGGGGCAGGGCGGGGTAGGGGTGGAGGGAGAGAGCGTGGGAGGGAGGGAGAGAGGGAGGGAGACCGCGGGGAGGGCGCGGGAGGGAGGAAGTCCGAGAGACAGAGCGAGGAGCGCTCCTGAAGGAAGACGTCGAGCTCGTCTCCGGGGTCCGGGCCACGATACCAGGTGGCGGGCGCAGCTGCTGGGCGTCCGGCCGCTTCGCCTCCGCCGCCAGGGAAGCGGGTTGCGCAAGGCGAGGACCCGGGATCGGAGAGGGATGCGCCAGGCGTTGTCTTCGGCCCGCGGCGGCGGCGGCCGCCAGAAACCCCAGAGGAGCTGAGGGAGGCGACGCCGAAGCGCTGGCCCGGAGTGGCCACTGTTGCAGCCCTGGTGGCGGGCTAGGGCGCTCGCCCCGTTTCTGGGCCGATCTCATTCCAGCGCCTCAGCTCCCGGCCCGGGGTCCGTCCCAGCCTCCCAGCCTCGCTCCCAGGTCCCAGATGACCACCGAGGGCGGGCCGCCGCCGCCCCCGCCGCGCCCGCCGCCAGCCCCGCTCCGCCGCGCGTGCAGCCCGGCCCCCAGCGCCTTGCAGGCCGCCTTGATGAGCCCGCCGCCCGCCGCCGCCACCGCAGCCCTGGAGACCACCTCGTCGTCGTCCTCCTCCTCCTCCGTCTCCTGTGCCTCGTCTTCCTCCAACTCGGCCAGCGCCTCCTCGATCGCCTGCAAGAGCGCGTCTGGCGGTGCCGGCGGCGCGGGCGCCGGGAGCGGGAGCACCAAGAAGGCGAACTCGGGGCTGCGGCGGCCCGAAAAGCCGCCCTACTCGTACATCGCGCTCATCGTCATGGCCATCCAGAGCTCCCCCAGCAAGCGCCTGACGCTCAGCGAGATCTACCAGTTCCTGCAAGCGCGCTTCCCCTTCTTTCGGGGCGCCTACCAGGGCTGGAAGAATTCCGTGCGCCATAACCTCTCGCTCAATGAGTGTTTCATCAAGCTGCCCAAGGGGCTCGGGCGGCCCGGCAAGGGTCACTACTGGACCATCGACCCGGCCAGCGAGTTCATGTTCGAGGAGGGCTCGTTCCGCCGACGGCCGCGCGGCTTCAGGAGAAAGTGCCAGGCGCTCAAGCCCATGTACCACCGCGTGGTGAGCGGCTTGGGCTTCGGGGCCTCGCTGCTGCCCCAGGGCTTCGACTTCCAGGCGCCCCCGTCGGCGCCGCTCGGCTGCCACGGCCAGGGCGGCTATGGTGGCCTCGACATGATGCCCGCGGGCTACGATGCCGGTGCAGGGGCCCCAGGGCACGCGCATCCGCACCACCACCATCACCACCACCACGTCCCGCACATGTCGCCTAATCCGGGCTCCACCTATATGGCCAGCTGCCCGGTGCCTACGGGTCCTGGAGGCGTCGGTGCGGCAGGGGGTAGCAGCGGCGGTGGGGACTATGGGCCAGACAGCAGCAGCAGCCCAGTGCCCTCATCCCCGGCCATGGCGAGCGCTATCGAGTGCCACTCTCCTTACACAAGCCCTGCTGCACACTGGAGCTCGCCTGGCGCCTCGCCTTACCTCAAGCAGCCCGCTGCCCTGACACCCAGCAGCAACCCCGCGGCCTCCGCGGGAGGCCTGCACTCCAGCATGTCTTCCTACTCTCTGGAGCAGAGCTACTTGCACCAGAACACCCGTGAGGACCTCTCAGGTATGGCATGCTCAGGGCTGGCCCAGGATACCACTTCTAAAGCTTCCAGGCCTAATGGCCCCTGTCACTCCTCTGGGACAGCTGGGGTTTGAGGGTACTTGGGAGGAGGATGCTGGGGGAAGCTGGTATCTTGTGGGTGGGAGGAAGAGGATGGGACTTACTGCCAACCCTGGCATCCCTGGCCAGGAGCTGGGCCTCCAGAATTGTCTAGCCTCCAGGATGATGCCAAGTTGGGGCCTTCCTAGCCGTTAAGGATATCCTTGTGGATTTCACCCAATTAAAAAGGAACAACTTACAGAGGAGGCAGTGGACTTTAGGAACTGTGTCTAGTCCTTCTGTTCTTTCAGAGTTTTCTTGGTTGTTCAAAAGTAAATGTCAGATACTTGTACCCTAGGGTATAAGTGGGAAAGGGTTCTTAGCTGAGCAATTATTGAGGGAACAAGAGAGGGAAGGGCAGAGAAAAAAGCTGGGCAAGGTCTCAGGGTCTTTCACTAGAAGCATCAAGGACCCCCCCCCACACACACACACACTACGCCCAGTAGACCATGATGATACAGTCTGTCCTGGGCAGCAGGAGGGTCCCGCATCTCCCCTGAGAAATATGCCTGGAGGTTAATTACAATGTGACTGGCCTAATTGTGTGGGTTGCAGATTATGAAAATTTATTGACTTGTGGGAAGCAGTGAGAGTGGTGTATAAGAGAATTGGAGTGTTTGGCCAGCTTTATCTGGAGAGCAGAGATAAACCCTTATTAACCTCTCCGATGCTCCCACAAGGATACAGATTAAAATCAGCTAGCCTGCCTGTCACAGACAAGGACCAAAGGTTGCCCCCCCCTCACGTTTATCTCCCACCCCAGCTAGAAAATGATTCATAGGATGATGCATACTTTATTTGCTTGTGTGCAACAAGAGCATTGGGGGAGAAGGAAGCCCAGAAATGGACAAAAGATGTTGGTTTCAAGGATGGGGAAAATTTCCAAATAGGCCTTTTAAATTCAGGTCTTAGAGGTTAACTAAACAAAGACAGTCTAGGCAGGACCACACTGGAGAGGATTTTAGCCTGACTTAACCCACTGAGAACAGAATCTTGTTCAATTTTATGGGAATTTCAACAAGTAACCAATGCTGACAACTCTCCCTTCCTATTTCCCCCTTCCACCGGCTGTCAATCTCTCTTAAGCTCAGGTCTGGCGATCACTCTCCACTTCTCTACCTCCTAAGTCCCTTCTGGTCAGCCTCTCCTGGGGCAGGCTCTACTCAACTTGAACCCCAATTCTGAGACTTGCAACCAACATGAAATTAAAAATCACAGAACAAACTTTTCTGCATGACACTGTCATCCCACCCACACAGCAGGCTCACATTCAAGCTCTCAGAAATCCTAGGATCTGGAGGCAAGACCCTTTGTCTTTAGTGGCAGAGAACTGCCCAGTTGCAGCAGGCAGGCCTCTCCTCTCTGTGGGATCCTCCTAGCTAGCAAGGCTAGTCTGGGAAACTGCCGACCTCAATGGGCTGTTCATTCTTCCCTTGTCCTCTAACTCTCAACCCTCTCTAGATTATTCTTCCCCATTTTGTCATCTCCCTGGTGAGTCTGAGACCTAGGCTTCCAAGGAGCCAGATGGTGTCCCTGGCCAGTGGGGGCCTAGCTCTCCAAGTGCAGCCCACAAGGCCTTGGCCACTCCTGAAATCCAGGCTCTGCCAGGCCCCATAGGGATCCTAGGACACCTTCCGAGAAGCACAAGACAGCGTGGCCCTGCCTCCCAGCCTTACCAGCAAGCCGAGCTTCCTACCCTCCCGCCTGGACCCGAGATCCTCAGGAAAGAAACTGAGCAGACCCCCCAGGGCTCTTCCTTAGGAGATAGGGCATTGTGGTCCCTCGGCACTGAAGCGACTCTGTTCAATGGCGCTGGCTCTTGGTGGGGCCTGGCCTGCTATTTGTGGTGCAGGAGCCGGTGCCATGCTGGACTACAGGCGCAAGAGAACGCACCTGTGTGCAGTGGTGGGCACACACCGCAGACACTGGCTTGCTTTCCTAGGATGGCAGCATGCTGAGCGCCCCAGCCGAAGTCCCGCCGCTGGTCGGCTCAGTGGGCGATGGGGGCTCAGTGGGCGATGGGGCACTGGAGCCCGGCTGAAGCCCTGCTGGGCCAGATCTGGCACAAATATCCCGCTGCTGAAAGGACCAGCAAACAACCCTCCTCTAGCCCCCGCACCTCACCGAAAAGGACCCAGCCTGGGAAATGCGGAGCCGAACACGCTCAGGGCAGAGAAAGTAAAAGCAAAAGTGGGTGCTAGGCGAGAAGCCCTGCTCCTGCCCTTGGGAAGCCTAGTACCGTGCTTCTGCAGCCGGCCTGAAGTTCCCAGTGGGACTCCTGGCATTGCCAGGGCCCCTTACTGGAGAACATCTCGTGCCCCGCTGCCCAGGCTTCTCCAGAGGAAGCAAGGCACGTTCTGGGCTTACGCTGATGCATGTGGAGGGGAAGAGGACTGGCTTTCCTCCCAGCACTTCTGTTGCGGTTATTTTTTATTCGCTTCACGGCATGGAGAACGTACCAGTGCTTCCCCTGAATCTCACCTAGCTACTTAGTTAGAAAATAAGGTTTAAAGTGAAGAGGTGAAGATGTCAGTTACATTCTGGGGCAGCACATTTGGTCCTCCCTGCAGCCAGAATTCTGGGCCTCGCTAGTGTGGTCTCCAAGCCTTGCTCACCCAGCATCCCTGCCCAGCCTCTGAGAGGGAAAGGGGGGAATTTGGGACCCCCGCCCCAGGATCTTGCTTTGCATTTGGGCATGTAAAACCAAAACAAAACACAGTCATCCTAGGGCCGACAGTTTGAAACTTTGACACACTTCTAGAGCTAGCTTCTCTGTTGCCTGTTTTATAGCAATATAGAGAAAAGTACACTAATCACCTTTAGTCAAAATTAGACACAGTAAATTGAAATTAAAACAATAGGTCTCAACATCAGCTCGATGACTTTGTGTCTGAGTTTTCTTTTTCTCTCTTCTTTCAGTGGGACTTCCCCGTTACCAGCATCACTCTACTCCAGTGTGCGACAGAAAAGATTTTGTCCTCAATTTCAATGGCATTTCTTCTTTCCACCCCTCAGCTAGTGGTTCTTATTATCACCATCACCATCAGAGTGTGTGCCAGGATATTAAGCCATGTGTCATGTGAATGGACAGAGGCCATGTGGAGGCCGCTCTCCCTGCTATTCTCCTCCTTTCTTGAGAGGCCCAACAGGAACTGCAATGGACTCACAGAACGTGCACTAGGAAAGCAGTAAGTAGCATGCTATCACTTAGCCAGAAAGCCCTGGCAAGCCTTGCTCACCAGTATTTGCCTACAATTGGAAGAGGAAACCCTTGCTAAGGTAATGTCCCATATGAAGGATATGCTAAAAACTTAACCACGTGTAAAACATAAACGTGGAGCTCTGGGATTGCCATTACCTTAAGTAGTCAGGGTCTAAAGAAAGAAGGAAGACAAATTGTGTGTCTCTGTGTGATTTTCTCATGTGTGCTTTTAAAAAAGGCAGTGCTAAGCACAAGACTTCAAGAGAGCCTCATTGTGTTGTCTAGCTCAGTAGGAGAATTGTTTTCCCCAAATATTATGTTTGGACACAGGTGCCAAAGAACATTATGAAGAAATGATCTAGAACCAGTGAGTCTAGTTTAAGAAAATGGTTCTCAGTATTGTGACAATACAACGATATTTTTTACAAAGTTGTTTTCTACCACCATATTTTAAAGTTATTTTTATGATCTTCGTGTATACTCACACTTTGCTTGTATTTTAAAAGGAGGATATATTTGCACTTATGTATACTTTTACAATTTGCCAAAATATTTTGATGTAAAATTTTCAATAAAATGTATATAACAAATAATTGTTTTAGGAACTTATTTCCTTTACTGGATGTCCAGGACACCCCTTCCCAGCGAGCATTGCAACTCTATACTCCCTGTCTCTAAGCTGTATAATTGCCGCGGTGTGGGGTCTTGGTAACTCAGGCCAGGTTCCGATGTGGATCTTCTTAGGAGAGAAAGAAAAGAGAGAATACTCTCTGAATTCTTTCTCTACTTTACCCTCATGTCTCCTGGACAAAGCAAAAACAGAAGGTGAAAAGAAAACTAGGCAAGGTACAGCTAGCCACGGTTCAGATCTGAGGACCTAAGTTTTGTGTAGCTTTTGTTTTCTTTCCTGTGCCCCCAAACAATTCTGCCCTTACCTCTTCCCACCAGTGCTGGCTATAGATGTGGAAGCTGAGGGAGAGTCACTACCCAGAGCCTGCCTGGGCTGAGCTTACCACCAAGTGTGGATGAGGTGCCCAAAGATCAGGCACCCGCACCCCTTGTTTCCTTTCTTGCTGGAGAGGTTGAGAATTACAGCGAGAATAGAGCAAGGAAGAACAGGACTTACCCATCCCTTCTGTATGCCCAACCTTCAAACTCATCAGTGCTGGCAACTAGAGACCTGAGAGCAGCAGCAGAGAAACCCTCAATCATAATCAAGAGTCGATGTCTTGTTTTTGTTATAGATTTTTTTAAAAATGGGAAACCCACATTTGCTTCTGATCCCCTAAAAGGGTGAGACAATAACTGCTTCCCTGGAGATAACTCACTGGTTAGAATCTCTGTTCCTGAGTAAAACACCTTGTTGCAAAAACTCCTAACACCCTTCCTAGTGTTTAGACTTCCTTCAAGTGTTTTCCAAAGTTAGGCAATGAGTTAAGCAATTTTTTTTAGTCTATTATATTTTCAGTTAAATAGAGATTTTTTTCTTTCTTTTTGTCTTTTCTTTTCTACCAAGCTACTCCAGGCCTGCTATAAATTATGAAGTCAGTCTCAGAGTTTGCTCCGACCACAGTGCTGTGTTTACATTCCTCCCGAGGCAGTCGGCATGGTCGTAATTTATATCCTAAACACTTGAACGTAACTTGTTTATACAGAGAATGACAGGACCTCAAAGACAAAAACTGCGTCTGTTTGAGTGACCACATCGGGAGGACCAGCGTGCCCCCTGGTGGCTGAGGATATCAGTGCATGGGAACTGGGCTTAAAAAATACAAAAAAACTACAAAATAATTCCTCCATGGTGGCACTTACCAGTAGACATTCAGAATATCTCACTTTCAGGAACTAGGCTTCCTAGTTTTAGGCCAGACTTTTGAATTTTCCTATTTTATTCTTTTTACCTACTTTATTATCCTGAAACCTGATCAAGATTTATTAACAGCCCAGACTTGCCCCTGTTGTACTTTCATACTTAATTTCTGGATTTATTTCCAACTAACGTCATTGTTTTACTTTCTTCTGAGTCAAAATTGCTTCTCTCCTAACTGCCTTTCCCTCAAAGACACACAGATAGACATGTTAATATTCATTTCTTTTCTTTCTCTGTCTTTTTTTTATTATCAAGAACATACAGTTCTTAATGTTGCTCAAATGTTGGTAATAAATTCTAAAAATAAGCTAAGTGTTTCAGTACTCTTAAAAGTGAAAATAAATGAACTAACTAAAGTGGGGGTAAATCTTCAGTTGAGTGTCTCTGTATGTGTGTGTGTCTGTGTACGTGCGCACATGGGTACACATGCAGGAGAATGGACTCAGGGTCTTGAACATACTAAACACTTGTGCTACCACTGAGCTACAATCAAGTCCATGTGATAACTGTTTCATCAAATGTATTTTAAACTTAGATTTCCTTTTTCTTGGCAGAATAAGATGATCTATAAAAGGATACTTGCTTATTTTATGGAAGAATTATTAGGTTTTGTTTATTTGTTTATTAAGACTTTATAAATGAAGAAGGAAGAAACCGAACTAAATTGTGCCATTGTCCTATCTGGGCATTGTACTCTTATTAAGCCTTATGTGAGCATCTTTACTACCTAAGTTAATTTAACTAAGGGTAACTAAATTATCCTAGTAAATTTCAAGTGTTGTTCGGTTTCCATCACGATGACAAATACTTGTGATAGTAAACTATCTCTCAGAAGAAAGATTTATTTTGGCTTACAGTTTTGAAGATTTTTAGTCCATGGTTTTTTGGCTTCATTGCATTGGGCTTGTGGTAAAGTGGAACCTCATTATGGAAGTATAGTAGAACAAACTGACAACCTTTGACCAGAGAGTTAAAGAAAGAGGAAAAGATGGGATCCCACAATCCTCTCTAAGGAAACTTCTTCCCCTCACTGTCCCTGCCCCTGAAGACTTCCCACTTAGGTCCTATATCTTAAATGTACCACTGTGTTGGCCCACGTCTTCTGATTTAGGTTTATTCAGGGTAAGTCTTATTTGGAAGCTCAAATTTGTGTGCCCTCCAGACCATTCTGATATATGCTCAGAATTATTTTTATTTAAACACAAAGCACTTTTATTTAATTCCAGTAAATCTTGCAAAGAGGGGTCGGATAGTGTCACTAAAATCACTTAGTCTCAGTACTTGCACACAGCAGCAAAGTTGGAGTTCTCCAGACAGAAGTTGAAGAAATTATCCTACTGGTTGTAAAAACTTCTGAGAATAGAAAGGAGGCTGTGACAGCAAAAGCCAGCTAGGTGCAAAGAGGTCAGGCAGGACCTTGGTAGGGGAGAGACCTAAGGGGGGAGAGAGGAAGTATGGTAGGGGCAGAGAAGAGAGAGAAAAGTGAGGAAGAAGGAAGGAATCAAAATAAGTATAGGAGGGGCTGGGAAGGTGGCTCAGTGGTAGAGTGCTTGCCTTGCATGCATGGGGCCCTGGGCTTGATTCCTCAGCACCACATAAGCAAAAGAAAAAAAAAAGCTGGAAGTGGCACTGTGGCTCAAGTGGTAGAGCACTAGCCTTGAGCTGAAGAGCTGAGGGACAGCGCCCAGGCCCAGAGTTCAGGCCCCACGACCAGACCCCCCGCCCCGCAAAAAAGGGGTGCAGAAAAAGTGTAGGAAAGAAAAGGAAAAGGAAAAATTAGAAAGGGGAGGGAGGGAGAAAGAATGAGGGAAGAGTGACGGGCATTGTGAAAAAAAAATTGACAGCAAGGGAAAGAAAAGAGAGAAAGCAGATAAGAGAGCGAGTAGAAAGAGTAGAAGGGAGAGAAAAAATGAAAGTGGAGGAGTAAGAGGAAGAGACACAAAGGCAAAGAAGGAGGGAAAAGAAAAGAAGAGAGGAAATGGGAAGAAGAAAAGGAGGGAGAGAGGACTGGAAAGGAGGAACCTGAGGACTGAGGATGTATCGCAAGCTTGGTAGCCAAGACTCCTGTCCCCTGAGGCTACTACTGTCTCAGCCTCCAGTGCCAAGTCTTTGGGGCTGAATGGCCTTTGCACTCCCGTGTGCTTTGGTTGCTGTCTGGATTTTAAAGAACTGAATGCTAACTGGGCATGCTCAAACTTTCTGAACTGCTGTAACAACTTCTAGAGATTTCAGGAAGAACAACTTTGACTTCTTCTGGAGAAAGTGGAAGTTCGATTTCAGGGGAAAGTTTAGGCCATCAAGATATGCCACTGTATGTCATTAAGTGGGATTACAAGCTCCTTCCCTAAAGAAAAATCTCTGCAGATTCCTGTATACCTAATTACTGGGAATCGTGGTGATTAATTCAAAACAGGCACAGACTTATTTAGGATGGAAATATATTTTAATATATTTTATTGGAACGGAAATGCATTTTACCAAACCTGCTTTCTATGAAACACTATCTTAGCAAGGGAAAACACCACAAATGTAGACACTAGGCCAAAGAGGGCTATGGCAGACAGAAAGCAGGATCACTGAGGGAAAATAAAAGTCTTGGAAGTTACTTTGGAGTTCAGAACACCCTGAAGCCACAGCAATCAACCTATAAATATTCAGCTCTCCATTCCCTGGGGATGTGTGTGATGTATGTGGGATATGGAACTGTGCCCAGCCCCCATGGCTGAATGTCCAGCCCTCTTGGCATAAATGTAGTCATTAGAGAACAGAGAAGAGTAGTTCTTAGGAGCAGGAAGGGGTAAGCAAGTGCCTTCCACAGCTTTCTTTCTAGAAAGGCCCCATTCTAGCCCTTAGCCTGGGACTGGCTGCCTAGAACTGCTATCCCCCAGGGACCTCAGCAATATCTGGGCAGTGACTCTTGGAGTCATTGGCCAAGTCATCACCTCCTCCTTCTGGGGCTAGGAATGGAACTCACGGCCTCAAGCATTTTAAGCAAGGGCTTAACCACTGAG